TCTTCTTCTTCTTCTTCTTCTTCTTCTTCTTCTTCTTCTTCTTCTTCTTCTTCGGGGATCTCTGCTCGCCCCTCTTTTCTCTGCTAGGATGCCCCCCTCTATTTCTCTCTCTAAATTGTAAATCTTTATAATATCTGTTATTTCAGATCACCCATCTAACATTATATATGTAGGCCTAAATATACATGAGTAGGCTATACACATACACATAAACAACACACACACACACGCGCACAGCGTACACGTTTTTTATGCTGTCTTCAAATCTGAGATTTTCGGCAGCACCCACATAATAAACTGCTGCCTCCTAGATCTACATCATAAACAGTTCCCAGTATAAATTACACTGTGCGTGTTTGTTTTTCATCACCGGATCAAGGGCAATATAATATTTGAAAAGTAATCCAGCGAAATGGTTGAAATGAAGCTCCTTTTGATAAAGACTGCTAAGCTGCTAAAGGCTTGCTCACTACAGTTTAGTTTGACATGCTTTCTAATTTCTACTTTCTCTACTTTACAATTCTCGGAAACATGAAAGAAGGGGACAGGTTTTCTTGCTGAAATTTGTTTTTCCGTGCTGCTCAGCATTATTTTGACATCACATGGCAACCTCTGATCAAATATTCAAACAAGACTTCTGCTTCGGCAAATGCTCGCATAAAGCGGGGGCAAATGTTCCCCGAAGACATGGAGTGTGCGTTTTGGAAGTGACTATCCTCACCCCGGGTGAGAATAGAACTGGCCCCGTAGGATTATGCGATTGTGCGGCCGCGTTTTTTCACGTAATTTTGCAACATTTGCATAATTTTGGGGAAGATTGAAGAATACCGGACCACTCGTACATTATTGCGCGAGAAAGTGGGGTTGGTGGGGCGGGTGGTTGGGGTGGAGGAGTGGGGAGGGGGGGTCTCCCCCTGACAAAATTTTAATGAAAGATCTACCTGTCCGAGATTCTCCATTGAGAGATATCAAAAACGGGAAAATTATGAATTCCTAAGGTTGAGACATAAGCAAAGTCAGTCCGCTGGTCCAGTATTCTTCAATCTTACCTAATTTTGGATTCCCCGCGTTTCCCCCCCCCCCCCACACACAAAACAATTAATTAACGCCTAGCCGTGTGATTAAAGGGAAATAATCACCGTAATAAGTCTCATTTAAGTGAAAAGTTGGTTATTTCCCTTGTTAGAAGATCTTGGAAGGAACATGTTCGATTTTTCAATCCATCAAAAGTTGTTGTTCTCATGTCTGCTGAATACTGCAGATGTTTTATGTTTGACAGGTGTCCCTGGTTTTAATAATGTGCCAGCTTCAGAGTTCCAGATGTCCTTAAAAAAATAATTTTTGTTTACATTTTTCTTTCCCCAGATCTACCTAGATCTAGATATCTAGATTTAGATCTAATATCTTGATCTAGATCAACAGCTGAAAGATACAGATATTATATTTTTAGGTATTTTTTTGTGTTTTGACTAATGTGTATTGTTTTCTTTTCGAATACACTTACACAGCAAATTACTGATACACTGATATGTTCTGTTAAAAAATGTTTCTGTACATAAAACATGAAAATCATGAAAATTCGTGTTGAAAAAGTGCCAAACACGTCGCAAATGGTGTTACGGTAACTTGCATAATTTTTGCATAATTTGGCATTTTTGGGCATAATTTGGCCATCTAAATTTTTGCATAATTCTAGGCTAGGCCTACGGGGACTGATAGAAATACGCTCGACCTCTCACCCCGGGTGAGACTTGCCAGCGTTGGCTCTTCTCACCCGGTGTGTGAAACATGACCTGTTTTTCCTAATTTCTAAATACTATCTATCAATGTGGATGATCAAATTGACAAAATCCAATAAAAAATGATGTTATAGCACAAAAGTAGACTAATTTGATTATCTGCAAAGATGCTACGGCCATTTAACTTGTCGAATCGAGCCGAACTGTGCCGGTCGCCATTTTGTTTTGCTCGGAAGTTCTCTTCTCGCCAGGCCTTGGGCTGTTCCCGGAAGTTCTCGTTTCTACTACGAGATTGAGGAGTGGGGTGGTCGTGAGTTGTCGGTCCTGAGTCGTCATGAAGGAGAACGACACTTTTCGCTCTTTCGAGGAGTTTCAGTCCGAACTGTACTCCTTTCAAATGGAAACATTTACTCAGTTCACCTTAAGGACCTCGGAAAAGATCCCTGCTACGGATGAACTGTCTTCCACTCTCAAGTACAGTGTACTGAGATATACGTGTAAACAGGGGAGAGCGATCCTTAGACCATCGTCGGGGAAGCGCTCACGCAAGAGGTAAGATTTTTGTTTGGCCACCTCTATTCTCACCCCGGGTGAGAATAGTGCAGGCGAGTCTTTTTTTGGCTATTCTCACCCGGTGCGCGTTCACCGTTATAGCCTAGATCTAGGCCAACCACAATTTTGCGTTCACCCTAAAACACAGAATTCTACACTGTGATAACAGAAAAATTGGCACTAGATCTAGATCTAGATTCTAGATCTAGATCTAGACTCTAGATCTACTTGGATATGGTGGTCCCGACTTGTGTAGGCCTAGATTCTAGATCTAGATTAGATCTAGATCTTCTATATCTACTGAAATTATATGGATACTGATTTAAATGGTGGGCATCAATGTTTTATAATGTTTTCTCAATCGAAGTGACTATTTCTCCGAACGTTCGGAGAAATAGTGCCGATCTTTATTTCTCCGAACGGTTTCTGGCTTCCGGTCTCGTGATATTTTGCCTATTTATTGCGAGAGTTCGGCGCCAACTTTCATTCTGCCTCTGCCCTCTGGTCTGGGAAGGAACACCGCACGGCAAGCCCGCCTACAGACAGCCTTCACTAACACCCACCACACACCCACCACCGTCATGCACATGTACACACACTAACTAAACATGACCAGTGGGCAACTTTTGAACGTATGACGAGTTGAGCTGTGGATGGAGAGACAGTGTGAGTGAAAGAGTGGGTGAAAGTGAAAGGAAGAATGTGTGAGTGTATCCACAGGTGACAGCAACTACAAGACGACACCGACCCTCCCCTGGCCTGGTCCACAGCTCATGAACGAAAGAAATGCAGCTCAGGCAGTGTTTTGCCTGTATTATTGTCCATGGTTCGCAGGGTGC